TGAGTTGCTTTGAGGGTGATGTGCAATAATATATACAGATAGATATTACCATGTCAGTTCTTTAATAAGAGTGGTAACTATTAGCCATTATTATTACTACAATTAAAAGTTGGGGGAAGACCGGACATGGTGGCTCATGCCTGTAATCCCAGCACTTTGGGAGGCTGAAGTGTGTGAATCACGTAGTCAGGACTTTGAGACAAGCCTGGCCAACACGGTGAAACCCTGTCTCTACTGAAAACACGAAATTTAGCTGGGCCTGGTGGCATGCGCTTGTAATCCCACCTACTCGGGAGACTAAGGCAGGAGAATTGTTTGAACACAGGAGGAAGAGTGAGCCAAGATTGTGCCACTACCCTCCAGCCTGGGCAACAGAGTGAAACTTTGTCTCAAAAAAAAAAAAGTTTGGAGAATACAGAAATAGAAGTAAGTTATAATCAGGGGCATTAGGAATGGCTTCTTAGAGAGATCCTTGAAATTTGGGTCTTCATAGTGGAGTGGGAGATGGTTATTCACTCAATAAGCGTTACTTAATGGTGATACAGCTGGGATGAGGTACTGATATGAGTACAGTAACGGAGAAAACCTCACACCCCCTGCCTAGCCCTCAGCTTGCTTACCGGGGAGCAGTGGGGAGCAGAAGAGGGCAGAGAAATAACCTGCAATTGCAACACAGTGTGACCACTGCTGTGTTAGTGACATGCCAGGATGTTTGGAGAATGTGAAAGAGGGTCACCTAACTTAGCTGCGGTGTTGGGAACAGGAGAAAGGTGGTAAGAAATGACTTCCTGGAGAGCTAACATTCGAACTTTGCCTGGAAAGAAAAAAAAGTAAAGGGGTAAGCACTTACCGAAAGAGAAAAGGGCTTTAAAACAAACAGACAAAGAAAAGTGAGAGCACACATGTTTTTGGGACTTCAAAATTAAGGTGTATATGGGGCTTGTCAGGAGTGTGAAGCTGGAGAAGTAGGCAGGCATTCTGTCTTGCGGCATCTTGAATGACATACCAAGGACCTCAACCACGATGCTGAGGGTTCTGGGTAGCCAATGTTTAACTGTAGGAAGATTATCCTAGTAGCAATATGGAGTATGTATTACATGGGAGTGGGGTAGGGGGCGATTGCTATTTTCTTGGTAAGAAAGGAGGAGGGTCTAAATCTAAGGTATTAGTGAGGCACAGAGAGGAGGGACCACCAAGAGATTTAGAAGTTGCATGGATAACTTTGAGGAGTGATTGCATATGAAAATCAAGTAAGCGAGTAGGAAGTCTATTGGTTCCCAGGTTTTTGACTTGGGCAACTTGGGAATGATGGCCATTCCCTTAAATAGGGAACTCCTGGGAAGAAGTACATTGGTGGGGAGTCATGGTGCTGGGGGAAGGGATGAAGGGAATGAGGATAGTAAGGTTAGATTTGTAAAAGCAGAGACTGAGAATGAGGTTCTGAGTAATATTCAGGCGAAGACGTGTGGTAGGCAGTTGGAGAAATAGGTTTGGAGCTGTTTCCTAAGGATAGGTCTCAGGAGAGAGACCTGGGCTGGTGATATAGATTTTTTTCATCATTAGCATGTAAATGGTAATCAGATCTATAGTGTTAATAAAGTTATTCAGAGAGAATTTACAGAGTGAGGAGACGAGAGACCTGAAGATAAAACCCTGAAGCATCACTATGGACAGGTCAGGATGAAAAAGAAGATGCTGAAAGAGACAGAGAAGAAAAAGCTGAGAAGCAGGAAAAACGAACAGGAGGAAGTCATCGATGAAAATCAGAGAAAGACAGTGTTTCAAGAAATAGGAAATACTCCACAGTCTATCAAGAACAAAAAAGGCAGCTTTGGCAATTAGGAGATCAATGCCCACGCTGGTGAATCAGAAAAGTGGTGTCGTGGGAAATATTCTGGCAGACAAGACAGTGCAAACATGTTGTGAGTAAGGAAGGGAGTTCCATGTGCCTGGGACATGGGGTGGAGTAGGGGAAATCAGGTTATGAGGCCAACTGGCTTTCCCCAATCCCAATAAGCCTTCAATGCCATGCTCTGCATGGCTTTATTCTGTAGGGAACAGGGAACAAAACACATAGGCCAACTTGGTTTTTTTTTTGGTATTAAGTCATTTTTTGAGATTGAGGCGGTTTCTGCAAAGCAAAATGCATAGATCTTATGGGTTTAGTTCAAGGAGTTTTGACAAATGTGTAACCAACACCCTGGTCAACATAAAATATTTTCATCACCCCTGAAAGTTCCCTTGTGCCCAATTCTAGTCAAATCTCTACTCCCTACATGCAACTATTTCCTCATTTCTATCCTGCAGATTACTTTTGTCGATTCTTGAATTTCAGATAAATGAAATCACGAGGATGTAAACTTTGTGACTGCTGTCCTTTGTTTATCATATTGTTTCTGAGACTTATCCATGTTGTTGAGCAGATTAACAATTTATTCTCTCATTGCTGGGAGCATTATTATATACGTAGATCACAATGTTTAATTCATTCTTCTATTTGATGCACATTTAGGTTGTTACATAACACCTCTTAGGTTATTACAAGCCTTTGGCTATAATGAATAAAATTGTCAAAAACTTTCTTCTGCAAGCCCCCCTTTTTTTTGAAACATGTTTTCATTTATTTTTAGGTAATTACCTGGGGGTGAAACTGCTTAATCATAAAGTAGCTATATTATAACTTTCGGAGAAAGTTTCTAAAGTGACTATTTTCATGCCCCCAGTAATGTAGAGTTCCCGTTGCTCCACACTCTTGGTCTTTGCCATTTCGTGTTTTTGATCCTCTAAATGTTAGTCATTCTTATCAGTATGAAGTGGTAGCTCACTGTGGGTTTAATTTGCATTTCTTAGATGACTAATTATGCTGAACACTTTCCAAGTGCTTATCATTTGTGTATCTTCATTTGTTAAGTGCTCAAGACTTTGCCCATTTATATTTGTTAGATGTATGTTGAGAGAAATGATAGTTGTCTGCACATTTTATATTGAAAGTAATTGATATTTACTGACACATTCTAAAAGGGCTTAAAATAGAACCATTTATGCATTCTGTCAATGAAAAACTGAATGACGCTGAAATATGAAAAAAAGTCTTGCCTGTGTAATGTCAGATAACTTTAAATTGTATAAAAGACTTTACATTTAAATGACTTTATTTTTTGTCTTATCATTATGTTTAGTACATGTCAAGCTCTTTGTAGTTGGGACCATGTTTTCCCTACTAAGGGGCAGATCTTTGGCTTAGCAGCAGAGAAAACCCAGGCCAGCGATCCAGTTTGTCTCAAATTGAGCCAGGAACCAAATCAGCGCCATTCATGCTGAGGTGAGGTTGTCTGTTTCTCTATTTAGAAATGGATGCTGTCAGAAATACAGAAAAGACAGACACAGGGACTATTTTTGAGTTTGCACATGGGAGCACATGCATTGTGTAGGAGGCTCTGCATGGTGGAGTCATCTTGGGCATTTGGTTCTGGGGCTGGCATGGGCATCTTGGTTTTAGCTGAATCCTGGCACACTGCTATTGGTACATTGCTATAGCTACGTTGCTATAGGTACCTCTGAGGCAGGAGAATAGGGCCTGGAGGTAGGGAAACTAAGGATGTCCTAGAACCAAATCAGGGGGAAACACTTCAGCTATGACAGGAAATACCCTCTCATTTACATAGGGCGTACACCAAGTAAATAACTTTGTAACTTCATTTTAGCCTCATTTACATAGTGTGTACCAAGTAACCAATGGAAACCTCTACAGGTATTTAAACCCCAGAAAATTGGTAACCAGCCCCCTGAGCGGCTTGCTCAGGTCAGCTCTCACCCTGTGGAGTGTACTTTTTCAATAAATCTCTGCTTTTGTTGCTTCATTCTTTCCTTGCTTTGTTTGTGCGTTTTGTCCAATTCTTTGTTCAAGAGTCTGGACACGCTCCACCGGTAACATTTCTCACTTCTGGCCTTAAGTCTAAATCATTCTTGTGTTTTCATTACTACTTCTTACTTTTTGAGGCAGAGTTTCACTTTTGCTGCTCAAGCTGGAGTGCAATGGCACGATCTCGGCTCACTGCAACCTCTGCCTTATGGTTTCAAGCTATTCTCTTGCCTCAGCCTCCCGAGTAGCTGGTATTATAGGCATGTGCCACCACAGACGGTTAATTTTTGTATTTTTAGTAGAGACGGGGTTTCACCATGTTGGCCAGGCTGGTCTCAAACTCCTGACTTCGTGATTCGCTCGCCTCGGCCTCCCAGAGTCCTGGGATTACAGGCGTGGGCCACCACACCAGGCCGAATTCATTATTTTTAATGCAGATGTCCAGAACCAATTTTAGACCTATCGTGTCACTCTCTTTGTGGATGGTGCCCGGCATGCAACCTTCTGAAAATAATCTAAGGTGATTGTGGTGTGCGCCTTCTGCGAACCTGTGTACGCTCACACGCAAGCCTGATTTAGGGTCCTGGGCAGACCAACCTCCAATCAGGAATCGATGGAGTTGGAGTCGGTACATTAACTTTTAAGGAGGGCCTCATTTCTCCCCCTAAAAATAAACAAGAGATCAGGCCGGGCGCGGTGGCTCATGTCTGTAATCCCAGCACTTTGGGAGGCCAAGGCGGGCGGATCACGAGTCAGGTGCTCAAGATCAGACTGATCAACATGGTGAAACCCCGTCTCTACTAAAAATACAAAAATTAGCCGGGCTTGGTGGCATATGCCTGTAGTCCCAGCCTGTAATCCCAGCTACTCAGGAGGCTGAGGCAGGACAATCGCGGGAAGCTGGGAGGCCGAGGTTGCAATGAGCCGAGATCGGGCCATTGCACTCCAGCCTGGGCGACAGAACAGACTCTGTCTCACAAACAAACAAACAAACAAAAAACAAGAAACCAGATAGGTTCTAGGCAGGGTTGGTGGCAGGAACCCAAGACGCGCTGAACCGGACCAAGTCTGGCTGGGATCCCCCCTCTCAGCGGCCGCGCGCCCGGCTCCGTCGCGCACGCGCACGCAGGAGCCGGCCTGTCCTGTGCGCACGCATCGCGCACGCCGGCGCCTTCCTTTGGGAGCCCGGGCCCGCGGGGCGGGCGCGCGGCAAATGGAGGGGGTGCTCGCCGAAGCGCTGCTGTCGCAGAGCCGGGACCCTCGGGCCCTGCTTGGGGCGCTGTGCCGCGGGGAGGCGTCCGCGGAACGCGTGGAGACACTGCGCTTCCTTCTGCAGCGGCTCGAGGACAAGGAGGCGCGCAGCGGCGGGGGTGGAGGCGCGCTCCCGGAGGCGGCGCGCGAGGTGGCCGCCGAGTACCTCGTGCCGCTGCTGCGGAACCTGCGCGGGCGCCCGGCGGGCAGCCCTGACCCGGGTCTGCCGCCGCGCCACCGCCGGCGCGTGCTGAGGGCGGCGGGCGCGGCTCTGCGCTCGTGCGCCCGCCTGGCCCGGGGTCCACAGCTGGCGACCGCGCTGGCGGAGGAGGCGCTGCGCGATCTGCTCGCGGGGTGGCGCGCGCCTGGCACCGAGGCTGCGGTGGAGGTGCTGGCGGCCGTCGGGCCCTGTTTGCGGCCCCGCGACGACGGGCCACTGCTGGAGCGCGTGGCGGGCGCCGCCGTCTCCCTGGCGCTGGGCGGGGGCGGGGACGGGGATGAGGCCGGGCCCGCGGAGGACACGGCGGCGCTGGTGGCCGGGCGACTGCTGCCGGTGCTGGTCCAGTGCGGCGGGGCGGCCCTGCGGGCAGTGTGGGGCGGGCTGGTCGCGCCGGGGACGTCCCCGGGGCCGGGCCACGTAGAGGCGAAGCTGCTGGTCCTGAGCGCCCTTGCGGAGAAACTGCTGCCCGAGCCGGGCGGCGACCGCGCCCCCGGCACGCGGGAGCCGGGCCCAGACGCCCGGCGCTGCTGGCGCTTCTGGAGGACGGTGCAGGCGGGGCTGGGCCACGCGGACGCCCTGACGCGCAAGCGAGCGCGCTACCTGCTGCAGAGGGCGGTGGAGGTGTCGGCGGAGCTGGGAGCCAACTGCACCTGCGGGCCCCAGGAAGGAAACGGTACCCACCTCTTTGCCCCCCAGCCCAGTCCTGTCTACTTGGCTGCCCCGGAGGGGAGCCTTCCTGCTTCTGAAATTTAGCTTCTTGGGGTCGTCACTTCGATCCATACAGAATTTGTTTTTTCCGGGTTGCTCCCCTAAAGCCTGGAAACCTTTGGAACCCCCTCTCGAGGGTGTTCTCGCAGTGACACAGATAACTGTGGTTGAGAACGTTCTGACCCATAGCCGGTGGAATACAGCACCCGTGGAATAGTTTAGGAAGATGATGGAGCCCGTGCAAGATTTTACAGACCCTTATCTGCGGTTTTAATGGCAGATTCATCCCAATAGGCATGGTTGATAGCTATCAAATTGAAAGAAAAATTATCTGTACTGACCAGTGAATTGAGTCTTGGAGTGTTAGAATTAAGCGTCGAAGAGGCCATCACACTCTTTTGAAATTTCCCCTGGTAATTAGGATCAGGCTTTACTAATATTTGTTAACATGTCGACCTTTCGAGTGTATTTTTGCTATTGATTTAATAGAATGAATCAGTTTTTCTTTTTAACATTGTTGAGCTGTGCTCCCTACTATTTTGTGGAAGAGTAATGAAACAGCAAGGTCTCCCTTCAAGGAGGTATGTTACTGTTTTTTTTTTTTTTTTCTTTTTAATTTTTTTTTTTAAAGATGGGGTTTCACCATGTTGGCCAGGCTGGTCTCAAACTCCTGACCTCAAGTGATCCACCCACCTCGGCCTCCCGAAGTGCTGGGATTACAGGCGACTGTTGATTGGTTTGACTTCAGGCATGTTAAATTTGCGTTTGAACTATCAAAGTACAAAGTAGATTGACTCAAAATTGTCTCAAAATAGAATATTTCTACTTTTTCAACTGCAGCTGACCATTTATTCCAGGTAAAGGATTTTCATTTGAAGTTGTGAGGTTATATTTTCAAGTAATTTTAAAACATTAGATAGTAAATATTTGAACAGTCCGCAGATGGGTATGATCATCCCGTGAGTTTTCACTGGAAAACATTTGAAAAATCATCAAAGTTAAACATTCATATAGTTGAATGAATAAGTTATTTTGCAGTTTTAAGGATAAGCAATAGTCTATCCATGTTTCCCGTGATTCCCATTTCCGCTGTTACAGAAAGCAAATCCTGTTGCCTTTTTCAATGGAATATTTTGGGATTTACTGCTATGTCTTGACTTAGTATGTCTTAGTTATATCATAAAATATAGTCACAGTTAAAATTTTGGTTAAAAGCATGTTCAGCATTTATAAAATTATGACTGTAAATGCTGCTCACAGGTGATTTGTAGGAAATGGATACTTTTTCTCTTCCTGCGAGTTCTTTAATTTTTTTTTGCTTATTTTCAACAAACCCACCGCAGAGTTCTTAAAATTTTGACATTTTAAAATGTGTTTGGTTCTTTCTATACTTATCATGAATTCTGTCTTAAATTCTTAGCCAGTTGTCTAAATCTTTCCTCTACAAAATCAGATATCAGAGGTGTATTTTTTTTTTTTTTTTTTTTAAGACAGAGTCTAGTTCTTGTTGTCCAGTCTGGAGTGCAGTGGTGTTACTTGGCTCACCACAACCTCCGCCCCCTCCCCTACCCCAGGTTCAAGCTATTCTCCTGCCTCAGCCTCTGGAGTAGCTGGGATTACAGGCATGCACCACCATGCCCCGCTAATTTTGTATTTTTAGTAGAGACGGGATTTCTCCATGCTGGTCAGGTTGGTGTGGAACTCCCGACCCCAGGTGATCCGCCCGCCTCGTCCTCCCAAAGTGCTGGGATTGCAGGCTTGAGCCACGGTGCCCGCCCTCATCAGAGATTTTGTAAGTTTTCCTGAAGAAGTCTCTCCCAGCGTCCTCTTACGTGCCCAGACGTGGCTGCTGTCTCCCTGTGCCTGGTGCACAGACCCTCACCCCGGGATTGCCTTCACTCGGGTGCCCTGTTGGATCTCATTTCCTGTAGTTCATATCTTCCTCTTTTTTGCTTTAGTTGCTTGTGTCAGTGCAGTGCATTCTCTAGCAGTTTCCTGAAATAGGATTTTTTTTAAGCTTCTGTATGTCCGATGACTCCATCAAACACTGCTTTATGTCTGCCGTCATGTTTTAATTCTCTCATTTCCATTTGACACTTTTGGAGTTATTCTCCTGAAAATCCTCATCTGCTCATCTGCTTATGCATGTTTACCTTTTCCATGCGATCCTTTAGCATGTTAATTATAGTTATCTGCAAGTTCGATACCTGGACCATCTAAGTTTGGGTTTGTTCTCTGTTGTAGTGTTTGGTTATGGAATTGCTTTTTTTTTTTATCTTACTATAATAACAGAGACGGAAGTAAATACTTTTGCCAAGGGATAGGCACCCTTACTTTGTGGCGTTGAGTTAGTCTAGTTAGTCGTTGAGCTGGGTTTGGCATTTGTTGCTGTATTTTCTTTCAGTGCACGCTACAATCTTTTTCCAGGTGAATTCGGTGGCTCCTTTACTGTTATAGTGAGATTCTTGGGGAGAAAAAGTAGAGCTTAAATGTGCAAATCTGTCATTTTTACCCAGAACTCCAAAATAGTAATCCCAGTTTAAAAAAAAAAAAAAAATCTCCCTCTGAAATTCCCAAGCCTCCTATCCAGGCTTTGATACAGGGACAACTCCATTATTAGAAAATACATTTGGTAATAGTGGCATTATTTCAAGAACTGCTGTCGTTGAGACACTTATGAAATTTGCAAAAGGAAGAACTAATTTTCTTTTTTAAACCATATCAGGCCCAAGTTTGTTTTGGTGGTCTGAGAAGAAAAAAGATGAGCTTCTGAAGTTTTGGGAAAATTATATTTTAATTATGGAGACTTTAGAAGGAAATCAGGTAAGTGTTTTTTTGATTTCAGCAAATCCTACAGTAGATAATTTTTCTTTTTTAAAAACATTCATTGAAAGCAATACAAAAAGATCAACTCAGATATAGCTGGTGATGATAGAATCCAAGTATATTTTGTTTTCTGGCATAAATGTAACTTAGAATGTAAGTTCTTTCAGGAAATTGAAGAATACTTTCAGTTAACCTAAATTATTCAAAAAATTCAATCTTATTTGCTCTTCCCTTGCCATTCTAAAACTTGAACGTTTCTCGCATCACCCAAATAGCTTGTCGTAAAGCATAAAGTGCTGATGTATTTTCATTTCATATGTTTTTATGCTCTTATTTTTAGATACATGTTATAAAGCCAGTTTTACCAAAGCTGAACAATCTGTTTGAATATGCGGTATCAGAGGAACATGGTAACGATTACGTTTATTTGATTTTTTAATAACGTTCATGGTTTTCTCCTCTGATTTTATAACTAATTCCTGTTCATTGTAGAGGATTTTGAGAAACAATAAAAGTTACAGAAGAAAATATGAATCATCTTGTAACGCTGCTACCAAGAGATAATAGCTGTTACCATTCCAGATACACCCCGTGGGTCATGTTGTCCATGTTTATTTCACTTAGCATAGTATCTATATCCATCTACTCATATCCTTAAATAGTCTTTAAGAACACAATTTTAAATAGCTGCAGAATTTTCTATAATTTAGATATGGTTAATTTTTTAAACTGTGGTGATGGAAAATTTCAAACATTTATAGAAGGAGGAGAGCGTGTGTGGCGCACTCACACTCTCAAATGACGATCCTCTCATGGCCAGCCTTGCTTAGCGTATCCTATGTAGTCTTTCCTGTTCCCTTCTCACTAAATGGTTTTGAAGCACATCACTAGATGTCCTGTCATTTTATCTATAAATATCTCAGCACATTTCCTTAAAAGATAAATTCCTAGGGTTTTAATGATTATAGAATCTGTGGTTTTAGTACTCACTGTTTTTTTTTTTTTTTTTTTTTGAGATGGAGTCTCGCTCTGTAGCCCAGGCTTGAGTGCAGTGGCATGATCTTGGCTCACTGAAACTTCTGCCTCCCGGGTTCAAGTGATTATTTTTGCCTCAGCCTCACAAGCAGCTAGGATTACAGGCATGTGCCACCATGCCTGGCTAATTTTTGTATTTTTAGTAGAGACGGGGTTTTGTCATGTTGGCCACGCTGGCCTCAAACTCCTGACCTCAGGTGATCCACCCACCTTGGCCTCCCAAAGTGTTGGGATTACAGGTGTGAGCCACCGCACTTGGTCAACAGTTGCTCTTTGCTATGAATGTATCTTTTAACTGCCTTTCATTCTTATTCTCTTAGTATATCTTTTCCAGTGTTTGTTGGAGTTACTTTTCTTAAGCTTTCAATTATTGTTCTGTATCTTGTACTTCTTAGGAAGAGAAAATACCAGGATATAATTTTAAATACTGTTTGTAAGCCTTTGATCACTATCATAGGAGAGCTTTTTAGGAGATACACAGTGAAGCTGGAGCTTCCTAAACTTATTCTATAAAATTAAATGTAGATTAATGAAATAGCTAAATGCAGGCCAACAGTGTTTTATGTTCATATGAATGCTAAAATGCTACATTATTGTGTTTACATATGAGAATTAACCTAGGTAAATGGTTTTTAGTGCCTACTGTAGATAATTACAACTTTAATAGTTTGACCCCTTAGGAACTGAGCTTTATTCATCTGATTGTTGTAGTTGTTTTCTGATATCCTGGGATTTTTCACAGAACATAAGCATCTATAGTTACACCTGGGGCTAGAATTTAATTGACTCTTGTGACTTCCCTTATGCATTTACCATTAAAACGATGCTCTTATTACTGCATTTTGCCCACAGCTCTTGGCAAACCAAATCAAATAGCAGTGACTGATTTCGAAAAATTACCATTGCCAAAGAGTTGAACAAGCATCTTGGTGTAAATTACAAATAATGGATTAATTTATTTATAGAATGTCATGGGTTAAAGATGCTGAGTATTTTTCTCTAATAGAATTAAAAGATATTTCAAAAGAGAAAACATCTCTAAGATATTCATTTATTCTGTTTTTTTATTTGCTCACTCATTTATTTACTTAATAAATATTTACTTAGTGTCTAGTATGTTGGTGCAAAACCTAGTAATTACTGGTGGTAAAGTGGTGAGAGAGCTGCTGTATTTTTCACCTGACTTCTGTTTTTTTCTATGAAAAAATAGTTTTGATTGTAAGGTATATGAGGGGAACAGATAAGGGGCTGATGAAATGGACTGAAGGGTAAGTGGGGTAGTCAGGGAAGGCCTGTCTTAGGATCACATCTAAGCTGAGAGTCCAGGCTGAGGAGGCATGCAAGCCCTGAGATGGGAGCAGCTGTAGGAGGCAGAACAGAAGGACCAGCAGGGCTGCAGCAGAGCTGGTATGTGGAGCAAGGGATGAAGTTGGAGTGGCAGTCAGGATCCATTCATGCCTTCTTTGGACTTTGTTCTAAGAATAATGGGGAGATGTTGAAGGAATTTAAGCAGAGGAGTGACAGTTTCAGATTTCTGTGTGAAAAATGGATTGAAGTGGGTTAAGAGAAGAATTGGTTGAAACTGTTCCAAATCTGAAGTTCCAACCTGCATGTGTGGGGTAGTATTTAATTTTTCTACACTGTAGCAGCTATAGCATTCAGTTATAGTCTTCCTTATTTTTTCAAGACAGAGCCTCACTCTGTTGCCCAGGCTGGAATGCAGTGGTGGGATCTGGGCTCACTGCAGCCTTGCCTCCCAGGTCCAAGGGTTCAAGTGATTCTCATGTCTCAGCCCCTTCAGTAGCTGGGGTTACAGGCAAGTACCACCATGCCTGGGCTGATTTCTGTGTTTTTAGTAGAGGCAGAGTTTTGCCATGTTAGCCAGGCTGTGCTTGAACTCCTGGCCTCATGTGATCCACCTGCCTCAGCCTCCCAAAGTGCTGAGATTACAGGCATGAGCCACTGCGCCTGGCCCATTTACAGCCAATCAAAACAAAGCTGCCTGAATGCAGTATACTGAATACCAAAATTATTTTGGTTATTCAGTAAGAGTACGTACTCGGCTGTGACTGGAAACAGGCTGGGTATGGTGACTTATGCTTGTAATCCCCGTGCTTTGGCAGGCCGAGGATAGAGGATCACTTGAATTCAGGAGTTCGAGACCAGCCTGGGCAACATACTGAGACCACGTTTCTAAAAAATATTTAAAAAATTGTCTGGGCATGGTGGTGCATGCTTATAGGCCTACTATTCAGGAAGCTGATGCAGGAGGATTGCTTGAGCCCTGGAGTTTGAGGCTGGAGTGAGCTAGAATTTTGCCACTGCACTGCAGTCTGGGTGACAGAGTGAGAACCTGTCTCTGAAAAAACAATAACAAAAACTTTTATAGTGTTATAATGAAGTAACTGTGTTTGTCTATACACGTATTTATGAGTATATAGTCTTTATGGCAAAACAAAGAATCAAATATCAACATTAGCTGTTTATTTCCACAGCATATTGGCTCTTTCACCCATCCTGGCATATGTGTATTTATAAAAGAATGTTTGACAGTGAAAACAAAATCCTGACCAAAGAAGGTGTTATCCACTTTTTGGAGCTATATGAAACAAAGATTCTTCCATTTTCACCAGAATTTTCTGAGGTATGACAGCCTGTCCCCTTCCTTGTTCCGTTGTTGAAAGATGAATGGTAAAAATACACTAGGACTCTGCATCAGCAGGTAACAGTTCATAGATTTGCATCCAACAAATCATATTTCTCTAAACCTAGCCATCCTATTTGGAAAAAGCTTGTGTTGTTTCTCAACAAGCAGAACAGTAGAACTGCCTGCATTATTACCATCGTGGAAAAGTAGTTCTACGTTATCAATATTCAAAACAGCGTAAGTCAAGAATCATAAGCAAAGTCAAGTTTTCACCGTAGGAAAACTGTGGTCCAGAAGCTTTCAGGTGATCCTGTTCTCATGGTTCTGAGCCACTGATTACTGCTGTTTAGTGATGCTGCTTCCCAGTTCTGACTCAATGAATTGCTGTTGTCTACTATGTGAAACAGAGATTACCTTCTGAGCAATATTTATTAGAATCTGTACTTCCATTTGTCAGGAACTACACGAGGCAGAGGCAGTGGGAGTTATAGCTGTGATTTTAAGTTTTATATTACGGTGCCTTGTGTGTCCCATGATGACATTAGGTAGAGTAATCTGCCTCTCATTTAAAGGTGACCTAAGTCAATTTTTTTCTTTTTTATTTTTCAGTAGCTTTTTTTTTTTGAGATGGAGACTAGTGCTGTTGCCCAGGTTGGAGTGCAGTGGCGTGATCTCAGCTCACTGCAACCTCTGCCTCCCAGGTTCAAGTGATCCTCCTGCCTCAGCCTCCCGAGTAGCTGGGGTTGCAGGTGGGCACCACCACCACACCGGCTAATTTTTGTATTTTTAGTTGAGACGGGTTTCCACCATATTGGCCAGACTGGTCTCGAACTCCTGACCTCAAGTGATCCACTTGCCTCGGCCTCCCAAAGTGCTGGGATCACAGGCGTGAACCACTATGCCTGGCTGTTGCTGCTTCTTTTTCTTAAAAGATTATTGTATTTATTTCCCAGATAGTGATATGATTTTTATTTTTTTCTGAGACAGTGTTTCACTCTGTCGCCCAGGCTGGAGTGCAGGAGTGTAGTGGCTTGATCTTGGCTCACTGCAACCTCCACCTCCCGGATTTAAGGAATTCTCACGCCTCAGGGTCTCAGGTAGCTGGGACTACAGGTGTGTGCCATCATGCATGGCTCATTTTTGTAATTTTAGTAGAGACGGGGTTTTGCCATATTGTCCAGGCTGATCTCAAACTCCTGGCCTCGAGATCCGCCTGCCTTGGCTTCCCAAAGTGCTGGGACTATAGGTGTTTGCCACTGTGCCTAGCCTAAGTTGGTTTTTTTCTAATTGTCTTAATATATGCTATGATATATTGATATGCCTCATGTTTCTGCATTCTATTCTTTCTGTACTTCATGTAAGCTTGCTTTTCTGACCAGTATCTAATATTAAGTTTTGAGTATAATTTCTTTATCCTCTAGGCATAGGGTCTTATGCTTTCTCTAGAGTATCTTTTTGGTTTTCTTATCATTACCTTTATTATCTAGCATATGTCACTTCTTTGGCTTCCTTTCTTCCTTCTTGACCCAATGCATGAACTCTCTTCTTATTATGGCATAAGTTTTAATCAGGTGGGAAAATTCTGTAGTTACTTTGTTTTTCGGGTAGAATTAAGCTTCCCCTCCAGGACCATCACTAAATTTAGCCTGCAGAGTAAGAGATCAGCTTTGCTTTTAGCAGGTGTTCTGTAAGCCAGCATAGGATGCCTTGTCAGGGAAGCTGATTTCAAAATTGCATTTACAACTTAGTATCAATTATGTGTCTTTTTTTTTTTTTTTAGTTTGTTATTGGACCACTAATGGATGCACTTTCAGAGAGCTCTCTGTATAGCAGGTAAAAAGACATTGTTATGATGTATTTGATACATAAATTTCATGTCAGGAGACATGACCAGATTGTTTGATGCATTTGATATATACAGTATGTTGCTGACTAGACAGTCAAGTTTTTCTCATCACGTGGTCCTTTCTGTATTTGTTACTCTTGCATCTGATTTGCATCAAGTGTTTCTCCTTTCTTTTTTTTTTTGCTTCCTTTTTTCTGCCTTGAGCTCCTCCATTCTTGGGCTGTTGGAAACCATGTCTTTTACAACTCACTTTCTTCTCCCTATTCCTGCTTTCTGATCTCTTGGAAGTTGCAATGACTTTAGCTAACCAACACTTTAAACTTATTTTCCTTCTTCTTTTGAATTTGTTTTAGACTTGTAGGCAAGTCTTGAGAATAATACAAAGAATTCTCTTTTCTCTTTCATCCATACTCCCCAAATGTTAATGTTTCACTGCATTTACTTGATCATTGCCTCTCCCTCTGTGTGTATCTTTCTTAGCTCTGTCTGCTAACCAGACTTACCCATCTGTATTTGTTTCAATGCCTGTCTATCCATCCGTCCGTCCATCCATCCATCCATCCATCCATCCATCCATCCATCCATATTAGCAACCATGAATCCACACCAGGACATCCACTTTCAGTTCAGTACTGCAGGGTTTATTCAGACCTTTCCATATCTGACAGTGGCTGCTGTTATTCATCCTGTCTCTACTTACAGGCCACAGTTATGTTTTGAAAAGGTTGACAGTGAGAAGTTTGTCAGGATTGTACCTTAGCTTCATTTTTTTGAGCATCATTTATGACTCTTCAATTCTATCTTCAGAAATTTCCCTTGCTCTTGAAATTATGTTGTCTTTCTAACATTAACTAAATTTATAGTTGTGAGTCTTGCTGTTTGGTATGTCTCTAAACAGAAATACATCCCCCTCAGCCAATTTCTTGAAACATTTTTAATTAGTCTATGCCAAGTTGTATTAATATTTAGTCTAGTTTAATAATATTGAAGAGCATAGCAACATTTGATTTGCCAATTATTTTTGGTTTTCAAATAACTCATTACTATCGAATCATTTTCTGAAGCAATTAGACAGCTGGAGAGCAGTAAAACCAATGAAAAGATCTTGGTGTTTTCTAAGAGTCAACAAACACATTTATTATGAAACGTCCTCAGTTTTCTTGCACTCTAATTTGTTCAATTAGCAGAGAATGTTCCTGGAAGAAGCATATAGCAGAAAAAATGTAACTTCAGTAGATGTTAACAATTAAGTGCTCTTGCAAAAGTAACTTATTACTAATATATGTCTTTGCTATGAATGTTACTTCTTTTGTTTTAGACCTGAAGATTTAGAGTCATTGGATTATATGTTGAGAACAATTAAATATAATTTTAAATTGTCATTTCAGGCTCTTATTTTTTATGATATTATTTAGCAAGATTCATATATGTGGAAGAGAAAGTGTCACAAAAAGGAAATCCTGAGTATAGTAGTAGATTATTAACTCACGTCCATTTTTCTACAAGGTCCTGATGTTTCTATAATCAGAAAGATTTTCTGAATTTTACTGAAAAGTAAAATGCAGGTTCAGAAAAATAAGATGGTCTGGTTGTTTTACTGTTGAAGGACTTTTGGGCCATGGTCCATGTAGGCTAGTTTCAGTGTAATCACTTGTAAATAAATGTTAACTATTTGCTTCCCCTCCCTCTCTGTCTGTAGGTCCTCAGGCCAGCCAATAGGAAGCTGTTCTCCATTGGGATTGAAATTACAGAAGTTTTTAGTTGCTTATATTTCTCTTCTTCCAGAAGAAAAAAAGAGTATGTGTCAGTAAAGGGTTTTTTTTTTTTTAATGCATTAATTTACAGTTTGTTTGTTTTTAGCAAGATTGGTTATAAGTACCATCAACTATTATAATAAATATTTTCAAAAGCTTTCCTTTTCCAGGATATGCATATTCTCTGAGAATTACACAGTATCGTTTTTGAGTACACTTTAGTCATTGTGTATAACATCTGATCAGTATTGGCATGAGTAGCATGGAGGGCATTTTAGGAGGTGCACTGCAATTTAGCCATCTTTTGTAATTGTCTACTATTCAGTTTCAAGATTAGTAAAATATACACAAGAAAGAGGGAACCTGCTTTTAGGGAAAAGTTGTAAACAGAATACCCATTGTGGCAAGTTGTCCCTTTATAGATACTGACTTAGAAACATAGAAAAAATAAGCCAGAGGCAGTGGCTCACGCCTGTAATCCCAGCACTTTGGGAGGCCAAGGCAGGTGGATCGCCTGAGGTCATGAGTTCAAGACCAGCCTGGCCAACATGGCGTAACCCCATCTGTACTAAAAATATAAAAATTATCTGGGCATGGTGGTGTACACCTTTGGTTCCAGCTACTCGGGAGGCCAAGACAGGAGAATCATTTGAACCCAGGAGGCAGTGGTTGCAGTGAGCCAAGATCGTGCCACTGCCCTCCAGCCTGGGCGATAGAGCAAGACTGTCTCAAAAAAAAAATTACTTATTTTATGTAAGACCTTGTCCTGGAACCATCCCGGATCTTCAGGTTGGAGATGTGTTCTAATGAGGAAGGTTGGAAGGCAAAGGACAAAACCGTGTGATTGTTTGCTGAGCAGCAGCAGCAGGACCTACTCTGCTTTGTGAATCCTTGATTCACTCCCACCTTTGTGATTTATAAAGTGAGCCTAGGTATGAAATATGTATTTTTTCTTTTGTATTTAATCTGCAAATAAAGTGACAAGATGACCAATGGCAATATCTATTCATACATCAGAAAAAAGGGACAATGTGGTCTGTGTATCATGACTTTATAGAAAATTGATTGTTTTGAATACTTCTTTTAAAAAATGAGTTACTGGGAAAGAGAACTATTAGAGCCATTCTTTAGTTTGGTAGTTTTCAAAAGTTTAATTAAGCTTCTGGGCTGCAGCCATATGGGGGTGAAATTGTCAGCCACGTTGCCGCCTCGCATGTCAGTAGCACACGAGTGAAATAAAGTTGGCCAGGGCTTCCTAGAATTTGAGAGCCAGGTGTTTGAGGTCCAGGGCCAGGCATATTCCAGATGCTTGGTAAATGTGTTGAATCAACATAAAATGGAAGCTTGGCCATTGTCATCTTCCTGGTGTCATGAGTGAGGTTTTAGGCAAAAGATGGGATTTACTGAATTTAATTGGTGCAAATGGAAGGGAGAACAATTGAGGCCAGGAGTTCAGAAAGAGAGAGTAACTAAAACGTTCATTCACAGTTATGTAGTCATTTCTCAGTCACCAATTTCCAGTGAGTATCTTCTGTGTATTCTGAATATCTTTCATGCTAGGTATTTTGGAAGATAAAAAATAGACACCCTTTAAGGAGCTTCTGAGGATTTCTTAAAAGTCATTCCACAACTATTTGAGAAAACAGACATTTTCACTAACTGCATGAGCTGAGAGTCCTTAACAAAACACACATTAGCAGAGAGGACAGAATGAAGCACTATCCCTTTGTATCTCAAAATAGAAATGTAAATAATCAAGATTAGATCCAAGGTAGTCAAGAAACAGCCTATGAGAAAGATGTTACTGTTTGTAGATACTAGAGGCCACTAACCATTAATACTTGCTATCCTGTTTTTCCTTAACATCTCAAGTAGAAGAATGGCTTCTAATCGTAAAAAATTTATTCTTTTACCGGCTGAGTGCAGTGGGTTGCCCCTATAATCCTGGCACTTCAGGAGGTCGAGGTGGGTAGATCGCCTGAGGTCAGGAGTTTGAGACCAGCCAGCCAACATGGAGAAACCTTGTCTCTACTAAAAATACAAAAATTAGCCAGGCGTGGTGGCACATGCCTGGCATCCCAGCTACTCGGGAGGCTGAGGCAGGAGAATCTCTTGAACCCGTGAGGCGGAGGTTGCATTGAGCCTAGATTGAGCCACTGCACTCTAGCCTGGGCAACAGAATGAGACTGTCTGAAAAAAAAAATTATCTTTAAAAAAAACCATAGCTTCGTGGGTGTCAAAATCTCTATAGTAGAGTAGAAATCTTACTAAATAAAAATGAAATAAAATTAACTTTTTATTTTACAAGAGCTTTATTGAGATATAATTCACCATTTTAAACCATTTGATTCAGTGGTGTTCAGTATATTCACAACGGTGCACTACCATTACCACTGTAATTCCAGAATATTTTTATCACCCTCAGAAGGAAACCCAGGCCTGTTAATAGTCGTCACTTCTCATTCTCTGCCCTTTGCCCCTGGTAGCTACCAGTTCACTTTGTCTCTGTAGATTTGCATATTTGCAAGATTTCATGGAAATGAAATCATAAAATACATGGCTTTTTGTGTCTGGCTTCTTTTAGTCAGCATAGTGTTTTCAAGGTTTATCCACGTTGTGGCATGTTTCAGCATTTCATTCCTTTTTGTGGTTGAATATTTCACTGTATAGATATTTCACATTTTGTTCATTCATTGGTAGACATTTGGATTTTTCACTTTCAACTGTTATGAGTAATGCTGTTATGAATATTCATATACAAGTTTCTGTAGGAACACATTTTTAATTCTTGTGGATACATACCTAGAAGTAGAATTGCCAGATCATATGGTAATTCTGTTTAAGTTTTGGAGGAACTGCCACACTGTTTTCCACAGTGGCTGCACCATTTTTCATTCCCAGCAGCATTGTGTGAGGGATCTGGGTTCTCCGCATCCTCCCCAACGCTGATTATTGTCTGTCCTTTAGATTATAGCCGTGTTTGGGCAGTGGATTCTCACTGTGGTTTTAACTTGTATTTCTCTAAGACCTAATGGTGTTGAGCTTCTTTTCCTGTGCTTACTGGCAACAATGATAATTTGCAACATTTTCTTTCAGGTAGCTTCTTATTGAAGTTTATTCGGAAGATGACAAGTAGACATTGGTGTGCTGTTCCCATTTTGTTTCTATCTAAGGCTTTGGCAAACGTGCCAAGATACAAGGCCCTGGGTATAGATGGGCTTCTTGCTCTCAGGTAATTTACTCTGTATAGGTACTTGTATGGTTATTTGCCATGACTTTCCATCCATGTGTATGTTTTTCATCTGCTTTAATCTACAGTAAATGGTTATAGTTAATGTTGGCATTGGGATGTTTGAGCTCTTAATTTTACATAAGAAAAAGCAAACTTTAAAAAAATTATTCATATAGTTGAACTTACTTTGTTTCACAAATTACTAGTTTAAGTGAGTACTGAACTATTTGCTATTGAATTTTGACCTCTTCAAATAGGCCAGTAAGTTTTTTTAAAATGCATTCGTAAGTAGAAAACTAAAGATAAAATATCAGCAATAATATTTGTTAGAAAGTATTTTTAAAATGTCAGTAAAAAGGAATTTGAGGAGACAAAAGTATTTCAATAAATACGAACTTCTTTAAAAGCAACTTCATTTATAGTCTTATTTTTAAAAGAGAATTGTTTCATATTAAAATTGAGCTCTAGTGGAGGCCATAGTGGGAAATAATACCTTTGAAATTCTGCTGATTTTCTGCATTAGAAATTGTAGATGTTATAAATCAACTTTTCGATGATCGCAAATGATCAGAATTGCCTTTGGGAATATGGAACTGCATTTTTTTGTATTTTGCTGTCAGGGACGTTATTCATTGCACTATGATCACACATCAAATTCTCCTGAGAGGGGCAGCCCAATGCTACCTTCTTCAGACAGCTATGAATTTGCTGGATGTGGTAAGTTTATCTTTTGCTTTCATTTACGAGTCTTTCTAAGTGAGTGGGTATGCAGAAATGAGTTAACACAACAGACCTAAGATACTACCATCAGAAAGGCCTGCTTGTAAGGTTGGCCCTTGGCTGACACTGGGACCTTGGATTTTGGGAGCATTTACGCTAACCTAACTGCTAAGAGTGCTTATTGTATCTAAAGTGTTTGTTCAATGTGGTTTATGTGGAACACCTGCTTTCCTTCTGGGAGTCTGGAATTTCAGTATGTATGAAGCAAAGGGTGCCTACATGACCACGTCCCAGTAAAAGCCTGAGGCACTGAGTCTCTAGTGAGCTTCCCTGGTGAAAATCTCCGTGAGTCTCTAGTGAGCTTCATGGAGATTTTCACTGTGTTGTTACAGCTTGTTGCTATGGGAGCTAAGGGTGTCCTGGGTGGCCCACTGGGAGAGGACTCTTGGAGCTTATGCCCTGTTCCCTCTATACTTTTTCCCTCATCTTCCCCTGTATCAGCATTCAAGGAATGTATACCATGCTTACTCTGTGCTTTTTACAGAGCCTCAATAAGTATTGTTTCCTACAGGGGTCAGAAAACTCTGTGGCACTGCTGCCAGGTAGCAGACGTTTTTTAAGCTTTGCAGCTGGCTTTATGATCCCCTTTGCAACTTCTGAACTAGATAAACAGGCACTAGCTATGTTCCAATAAAACTATTTACAAAGCAGGCTGTGAGTGGTTTTTGCCATCGCCTGACCTACACAGAGTAAGGTATCTTAATTCAAGATACATAACCTTAAGGGAATGAAGATCTAGGTGGTTTTCTTAGGGGGTCATTTTTGTAGCATCAAAAAGAATCACATTTTTTTTTTTGAGACGGAGTTTCACTCTCATCTCCCAGGCTAGAATGCAGCGGCGTGATCTCAACTCACTGCAACCTCCGCCTCCCAGGTTCAAGTGATTCTCCTGCCTCAGCCTCTTGAGTAGCTGGGATTATAGGCATGTACCACCATACCCGGCTAAGTTTTATACATATATATATATATATATATATATATATATTTTTTTTTTTTTTTTGAGACGGAGTTTCACTCTTGTTACCCAGGCTGGAGTGCAGTGGCGCGATCTCGGCTCACCGCAACCTCTGCCTCCTGGGTTCAGGCAATTCTGCCTCAGCCTCCTGAGTAGCTGGGATTTCAGGCATGCGCCACCATGCCCAGCTAATTTTTTGTATCTTTAGTAAAGATGGGGTTTCACCATGTTGACCAGGATGGTCTCGATATCTTGACCTCGTGATCCACCCGCCTCAGCCTCCCAAAGTGCTGGGATTACAAGCTTGAGCCACCGCGCCTGGCCATTAAGTTTTGTATTTTTAGTAGAGACAGGGTTTCACCATGTTGGCCAGGCTGGTCTCAAACTCCTGACCTCAGGTGATCCACCCCCTTTGGCCTCCCAAAGTGCTGGGATTACAGGTGTGAGCCACCGAGTCCAGCCTCACATTTTGATTGAAAGTAATTTCTTCTTATAGAATGTTTTTAAGATTGTGACCACATTTAAGATAGTAACCTCAAATTTAAGTTAACATGGTATCTTTATGTTAAAAGTTGAATAATATTTTCTTTTTAAAATATAGCTTATTTTTGATTTAGCTAATGATAGCCTACTTTAAATAGTATACTTGGTTGCTTCCACATTGGTTTTATTCAATTAAACATTTTAATATAATTTTTAAAATCTTTCCTGCCCTGCCCAGGAGAAAGTGTCACTTTCTGATGTCTCAACTTTTCTCATGTCTTTGAGACAAGAGGAATCCTTAGGACGAGGAACTTCATTGTGGACAGAGGTGAGATTGAAGATAATTTAATAAGGTCTTTGAAAACTGTAAAAAATGGTGTTCTTAATGAATTTCTTACTAGCCATTTATATAAAATATAATGACTGCTTTGTTATCTGTCAACAGACACTTTGAAATATTATATATTTGCTTTGAGTGGACTTAACTAATGCTGCTAAGATGCTTATGGAGAGGTGGGAGAGAGGAAAATGTTTGCAGTAGAGATAGACCTATTTAGAAGAAAGATGTTGCTAGTGGGCAGATCTCAACTCCCGGTGAGATGCCGTAGGAGTAATGACTGTTAGACTCAAACACAGTAAGTGACACGAACTCCTTTCTCTGTTTTCTGTCAGTGAACAGCCTCTTCCTCCACCCAGTTGTGCAGTCCTCACATTTTGGTAATTCTCAGTTTGTCCTGATTTTTGCATCCAATTCATCATGAAACCCTCCTATCTCATAAACATCTTTCCTCTTCTCCATGCCCCACTGTGGCTCTAGCTCAGACCCTCCTCATGTGAAGCTTCTTCCCTTGTAATGATGTCTTGTTGATGTCGCATCCCTGGCCTCCAGGTCTTGCCCCCCTTTTTCTTAGGACTCTTTGGGGCCAGCCTCCTTTCTTGTTTTGTAAACGATGGGGTGTAGTTCATACGACTGACTTTAGTGTTTATTCGTTATGTATGTGGTTGAGTTCTGATGTTTGTCCCCTCTAGGTTATATATTTTTTGAGACACAGGAACCATGTATTTTCAACATTTCTCCAATGCCTGAGTGATCAGCAAAACTAGGGATTATTTCTTTTAGAAGGCAATTCTATGTGTATACATAGAGAGAAATAAGAGAAATCAGCTTGGAGTATGTTATAATCCAGGCATGAAATAATGAGGGCTCAGGAAGTAAGTTAATGGCAGAAGAAATGAAGAAGGGGCAAATTGGAGCCTTTAAAAAATGAAAGTTTGTTAAAAAATTTTTTTTTGCAACGGAGTTTTGCTCAAGTGCAATGGTGTGATCTCGGCTCACTGCAACCTCCGCCTCCCGGGTTCAAGTGATTCTCCTGCCTCAGCCTCCCTAGTAGCTGCGATTACAGGCACGCACCACCACATCCAGTTAATTCTTTAGTATTTTTAGTAGAGACAGGGTTTCACCCTGTTGGTCAGGCTGGTTTTTAACTCCTGACCTCAGGTGATCCACCTGCCTCAGCCTCCCAAAGTGCTAGGATTACAGGCATGAGCCACTGCCCCCAGCCACAATTTTGTTTCATTTTCTTGATGCCAATGCATCTGATTACATGGAATTTGAAAAATATGGAACCATATAAAGAAAGTAAAAATCACCTGTAATGCCTGCCATCAAACTAAATGTGTATTTTTTTGGTTTAGTTTTTAATTCTTTTTCCCTATGAATATAATATATGTATTCTCTTACTTGCTTTCTCATTATGGATAAGTATATGTATATTTAAAATGATGATAATACATTTGAACTTCCTTTTTTTTTTTTTTTTTAATTTTTTATTGGATTATAGGTTTTGGGGTACATGAGCAGAGCATGCAAGACAGTTGCGTCGGTACACACATGGCAGTGTGCTTTCTTTTCTTCTCCCCTTCACCCACATTTGGCTTTTCTCCCCAGGCTATCCCTCCCCACCTCCCCCTCCCACTGGCCCTCCCCTTTTCCCCCCAATAGACCCCAGTGTTTAGTACTCCCCTTTCTGTGTCCATGTGTTCTCATTTTTCATCACCCACCTATGAGTGAGAATATGCGGTGTTTCATTTTCTGTTCTTGTGTCAGTTTGCTGAGGATGATGTTCTCCAGATTCATCCATGTCCCTACAAACGACACGAACTCATCATTTCTGATTGCTGCATAATATTCCATGGTGTATATGTGCCACATTTTTCCAATCCAGTCTATTATCAATGGGCATTTGGGTTGATTCCAGGTCTTTGCTATTGTAAACAGTGCTGCAATGAACATTCGTGTACATGTGTTCTTATAGTAGAAGGATTTATAGTCTTTTGGATATATACCCAGTAATGGGATTGCTGGGTCAAATGGAATTTCTATTTCTAAGGCCTTGAGGAATCGCCACACCGTCTTCCACAATGGTTGAACTAATTTACACTCCCACCAACAGTGTAAAGTGTTCCTTTTTCTCCACATCCTCTCCAGCATCTGTTGTCTCCAGATTTTTTAATGATCGCCATTCTAACTGGCGTGAGATGGTATCTCAATGTGGTTTTGATTTGCATCTCTCTGATGACCAGTGACGATGAGCATTTTTTCATATGATTGTTGGCCTCATATATGTCTTCTTTCGTAAAGTATCTGTTCATATCCTTTGCCCACTTTTGAATGGGCTTGTTTGTTTTTTTCCTGTAAATCTGTTTGAGTTCTTTGTAAATTCTGGATATCAGCCCTTTGTCAGTTGGGTAAACTGCAAAAATTTTTTCCCATTCTGTTGGTTGCCGATCCACTCTAGTGACTGTTTCTTTTGCCGTGCAGAAGCTGTGGAGTTTCATTAGGTCCCATTTGTCTATTTTGGCTTTTGTTGCCAATGCTTTTGGTGTTTTGTTCATGAAGTCCTTGCCTACTCCTATGTCCTGGATAGTTTTGCCTAGATTTTCTTATAGGGTTTTTATGGTGCCAGGTCTTATGTTTAAGTCTTTAATCCATCTGGAGTTAATTTTAGTGTAAGGTGTCAGGAAGGGGTCCAGTTTCTGCTTTCTGCACATGGCTAGCCAGTTTTCCCAACACCATTTGTTAAACATGGAATCCTTCCCCCATTGCTTGTTTTTGTCAGGTTTATCAAAGATTGTATAGTTGTATGTATGTTGTGTTGCCTCCGGTGCCTCTGTTTTGTTCCATTGGTCTATATCTCTGTTTTGGTTCCAGTACCATGCTGTTTTGATGACTGTAGCCTTGTAGTATAGTTTGAAATCCGGTAGTGTGATGCCCCCAGCTGTGTTCTTTTTGCTTAGAATGGACTTGGCTATGTGGGCTCTCTTTTGTTTCCATATGAAGTTCATGGTGGTTTTTTCCAGTTCTGTGAAGAAAGTCAATGGTAGCTTGATGGGGATAGCATTGATTCTGTAAATTACTTTGGGCAGTATAGCCATTTTCACGATATTAATTCTTCCTAACCATGAACATGGAATGTTTCTCCATCTGTTTGTGTCCTCTCTGATTTCGTTGAGCAGTGGTTTGTAGTTCTCCTTGAAGAGGTCTCTTACGTTCCTTGTGAGTTGTATTCCAAGGTATTTTACTCTTTTTGTAGCAATTGCGAATGGCAGTTCGCTCTTGATTTGGCTTTCTTTAAGTCTGTTATTGGTGTAGACGAATGCTTGTGATTTTTGCACATTGATTTTATATCCTGAGACTTTGCTGAAGTTGCTTATCAGTTTCAGGAGTTTTTGGGCTGAGGCAATGGGGTCTTCTAGGTATACTATCATGTCGTCTGCAAATAGAGACAATTTGGCTTCCACCTTTCCTATTTGAATACCCTTTATTTCTTTTTCTTGCCTGATTGCTCTGGCTAGAACTTCCAGTACTATATTGAATAGGAGTGGTGAAAGAGGGCATCCTTGTCTAGTGCCAGATTTCAAAGGGAATGCTTCCAGTTTTTGCCCATTCAGTATGATATTGGCTGTTGGTTTGTCATAAATAGCTTTTATTACTTTGAGATACGTTCCATTGATACTGAGTTTATTGAGGGTTTTTAGCATAAAGGGCTGTTGAATTTTGTCAAATGCCTTCTCTGCATCTATTGAGATAATCATGTGGTTTTTGTTTTTGGTTCTGTTTATGTGGTGAATTACATTTATAGACTTGCGTATGTTGAACCAGTCTTGCATCCCCGGGATGAATCCTACTTGATCATGATGAATAAGTTTTTTGATTTGCTGTTGCAATCGGCTTGCCAATATTTTATTGAAGATTTTTGCATCTATGTTCATCATGGATATTGGCCTGAAGTTTTCTTTTCTTGTTGGGTCTCTGCCAGGTTTTGGTATCAGAATGATGTTGGTCTCATAAAATGATTTGGGAAGGATTCCCTCTTTTTGGATTGTTTGAAATAGTTTTAGAAGAAATGGTGCCAGCTCTTCCTTGTGTGTCTGGTAGAATTTGGCTGTGAACCTGTCTGGACCTGGGCTTTTTTTGTGTGGTAGGCTCTTAATTGCTGCCTCAACTTCAGACCTTGTTATTGGTCTATTCATAGTTTCAGCTTCCTCCTGGTTTAGGCTTGGGAGGACACAGGAATCCAGGAATTTGTCCATTTCTTCCAGGTTTACTAGTTTATGCGCATAGAGTTGTTTGTAATATTCTCTGATGATGGTTTGAATTTCTGTGGAATCTGTGGTGATTTCCCCTTTATCATTTTTTATTGCATCTATTTGGTTGTTCTCTCTTTTATTTTTAATCAATCTGGCTAGCGGTCTGTCTATTTTGTTGATCTTTTCAAAAAACCAGCTCTTGGATTTATTGATTTTTTGAAGGGTTTTTCGCGTCTCAATCTCCTTCAGCTCAGCTCTGATCTTAGTTATTTCCTGTCTTCTGCTGGGTTTTGAGTTTTTTTGGTCTTGGTCCTCTAGCTCTTTCAATTTTGACGATAGGGTGTCAATTTTGGATCTCTCCATTCTCCTCATATGGGCACTTATTGCTATATACTTTCCTCTAGAGACTGCTTTAAATGTGTCCCAGAGGTTCTGGCACGTTGTGTCTTCGTTCTCATTGGTTTCGAAGAACTTCTTTATTTCTGCCTTCATTTCATTGTTTACCCAGTCAACATTCAAGAGCCAGTTGTTCAGTTTCCATGAAGCTGTGCGGTTCTGGGTCGGTTTCTGAATTCTGAGTTCTAACTTGATTGCACTATGGTCTGAGAGGCTGTTTGTTATGATTTCAGTTGTTTTGCATTTGTTGAGCAGTGCTTTACTTCCAATTATGTGGTCAATTTTAGAGTAGGTGTGATGTGGTGCTGAGAAGAATGTGTATTCTGTGGATTTGGGGTGGAT